TCAAATAGTGTTGAGAAATGTGATTTTAATACTGAAAATCTTGGTGATAGCTTTAAAATTATAAAATTTAAAGCTTAAAAAATAGTGTAGATCAAATAGATCTATGAAAACTTGAAAATTGACGATCCAAAAATGCATTACAAGATGCACTATTTTCAAAACTTGAAATCTGTTTTTTTTTCTCTTGTCCATGCATCTTGACGACAAGATGATCAATTTGAGAATATTTCGGCATCAAAACAACCCCTTCTAGTGAAATTTTTGAGGTGCATCCTAATTTGATTATTTAGGAGCCTCACACTTATATGAAGTTTTTTCACATAGGTTAGCCCACTAGCTCACAAATGAAGTTTTTTCACATAGGTTAGCCCACTAGCTCACAAATAGATATGAACTCAATGGATCTGGGCTAATCTGATGGTCACGACCTCATTTCGTATTTTAATTTTAATTTTTTTCTATAAATCCAAATTACTAGAAAATTTGAGTGTATATTCGTTAAAAATATGTATAGAAGATATATACTCCTCTCCCTACCCCCACCCCAATCATATATATATATAAACTCCTCCCAACGCCTATAGACAAAAATGAACATTGATTTTTCCTACCTTCATCACCATCCAAACTTCATCGCATGGTCACAATTATCCGGTAGTGTTTCAATTTTCATTTTTTTGCTTACAAATCCAAATTACTTGAAATTTGGAGTGTGTGTATATCTTAATGAGAAGCACCTAATAAAAATATGTAAAAAATATTTCGTAAAATATAAATTGACCAAAGTACTTCCAAAATATAGGAAGATACTACAAAACACCTATAGGCAAAAATGAACAGTGATTTCGCTTACCCTCATCACCATCCAAACTTCATTGTACGGTCACAGTTGTCTGATAGTCTTTCAACTTTCATATTTTTTTTACTAATCAGAATGATCTGAAATATGGTGCATGTTTACATCTTAGTGAGGCTCACCTAATAAAAATATGAAAAAAATAATTATCGAAATATAAATAACTAAAATGCTCATATAAATTTTTAGGGTATTTTGATCAATTTATATTTTACGAATTATTTTTTTTATATTTTTATTAGGTGCGTCCCACTAAGATATACACACACTCCAAATTTCAAGTAATTTGGATTTGTAGAAAAAAAAATGAAAATTGAAATACTACGAGACAATTATGACCGTGCGATGAAGTTTGGATGGTGATGAGGGTAGGTAAAATCACTGTTTATTTTCGCCTATTGGCGTTGGGAAGAGTTTTCCATATATATATATATATATATATATATCCCCCACCAACTTCAGCTGTCCAATTTAGATTAAACGAGCTACTCACTATTTGATCTAGATCAGACGCCTCAAAGTATTCTATGTGAAATTATTTACTTTTGATACAAGGAGGTCACAATCATTGTTGACCGTTAGATTTAAAATCAGGTGGTTGAGGATGTGTTATTTTTTTGGCACAACATCCAAAATAAAATTTCTCGAATGTTGTGACATACTTTCATTTATTGGATTTCACATCTAATGACTTGATTATGACATCCTTGTACAAAAAATAAAATTATCGTTGAGGTGCACCTTAATTCTAGATTTTAAGATTGCAACCATGTATAAACTTTTTCCTTTTCTAAAACATTGCAATTTTCAAAAAATTTGTAAAATATGTGAATTAATAATTGATTCAAATTACACAACTTCCTAAATATTAAAATTTCAAAATTTTCGTAGGTAATTATTCGTGTGTTATCACATCTTTAAATATTTAAACTTTAATAAGAAACTTATAAACATTTCAAATTAGCATACACCTGTTTATATTCACAATTTTGATTCATAATTTTAATCTAAAGACTGTTTTTGTCTAAATTTTAATTTTTTATTATGCTTTTCAAATGTTTGAAAAGAATACTATTGTCATTGCCAACCAAAAAGGAAACTTGCATTATTTTTTGTAATAATTTATTATTTGAACTACAAAGTTTTATGCTTTGAAAAACACTTTGACTAATTTCCAAATTAAATTGCCACTTTCCAAATGTTTTAAAAAAATAATGTTGGTTTTTAGGTGATAAGATGAGAAAAAGTAGGCTTAAGTGGGCTAATTATGTGCACCACAGACCCAATATAACACGTGTTAAGAAGTGCAAGTTGGTTCAAGTAGAATGCTAAAAATGGACAAAAAAGAAAGCTCAAACGGACATAGTTGGAAGTGGTGAGAAAAAATATTAGGACTTATGGCTTCATTGAAGGTATGCTTCTATCGCAGGCGGACAAGGATTTGTATAGTCGTCCCCAGTAGTTAGGGAAAGGTTATATGATGATGTAATTTTTTAATTTTTTTTCTTAAATACCAAATCATTTAAGGGTTTTGAAATTACCTTCGTGATTGACTTAAAGTTTTTCAAATGTTATATATACTAAATGTTGCATGTTACAATGTATACGAAACTTCATTCGATTCGCATTATTCCATAGTTTGTCTCGTATAGTCCTGCCATATCTGACGTTTAAACTATAGTTTATACTTTTTAAGAAATTTATCCCTATTTTTTTTTGTCGTTATCCAAATTTTAAGCTTCCATTTTCAATTGGTTTTAAATAGAAAAATGAATTCAAAATGTTTTATATTTTACCTTCGAAATTCTTAGTATTTCGAAATTTCATTGATGACTCACTTCCATGCACTTTTAATAATAATGATATTTTTTTATTTTTTTGAAAGAGGTCATTTTTCAACATTATTTTCATGCTTTAGAAATAGTTTATGATTACTTTTAACTTTTAACAAATTTAAATTTTTTTAAAAAACAGATTTTTCTACAAATAGTTATTATGAAATTATCTTTCCCCTTTGCTTTTTTTTTTATTACTGACTGACTTTATTGTTTTTTATCTTTTTTTAATGCCCTTAACAAGTACTTACAACTAAAAATTTTCATTTAAAGCCTTAATGTAAACATGTTCTATTTACCATTTGAATTTGCACCAAAAACTAAATTATTTAGATTTTTCTCAAATTATCAATGTTAATGTTCTATTTATAATCATAAATTTCAAATTTAATTAGAAAAACCATTTGAAATATTTTTAATATTTTTTATTAAGTAAATAATAAATATTTTTAATATTTTTTATTAAGTAAATAATAAATATTTGGAACTACCCTACTACAATTTTTTATCTTCTCATTCTTTTTACTTATAATTTTTTGTACTTTAAAAATTAATATATCTAATTGACAATTTATTATTGTAAATTTTCAAATGTTTGAAGGCAATTATATTGTCCTTGCAACTAAAAAGGAATACTAGTTTTGTTTCATTTTTTTATTTTTGAAATATTTATAATTTTAAGTGCAAAATTTATGCTTTACAGCAGCTAGCTTTCAAATTAAATTATTAATTTTTCAAATATTGGTTTTAAGTTACATTTACGGTTTAAGTAAGAGGTTTTCATGCAATAAAAGCTTAGTGTGACATGCTACTAATGTATGCCATATTTTTACTCATGATGGCATTATCCAATGGTCACTACCAGATACTGCTTTTCAAGATTAGAACTTTTAATGTATCTAAAGTGAATTATGTTGTCTATGCTATAAAAAATAGAAAACTGGTTTAGATCTATCAAATATTTAAATTCAAAAATTTTATTGATTTAAACTTTCATTTGCGACTCATTTTCATCATCTTTTTTTTTGGGAAACAAAAAATTTATGAATTTTGATATTTTATTCATCAAATTTTATAGTACTCAAAAATAGTTTATGAGCAATTTTCAAATGTCAAACATCGAATACTTTGAATGCTTCACAACTCTGAAACTTTAACATTAACTTTTTTCTGATGTAAAAAGGGAAATAGATATTTTGATTTCTACCTAACATTAGACAAATACATTAAAATGTAGCATTGATTTCTTTGGTCTTAAAATATTTTGTTATCAGTTAGTTTGTCTTTATATTTGTGCGTGCAAAGCACATAAATCGACTATTACTAATGGAATTTGAAATTTACCAAAAAGTGAAACAGCCCAATGACTACTGGTCATATTACAAAATATCCATATCGGCAAAGGTGATATGAGAGAGAGAGAGAGAGAGAGAGAGAGAGAGAGAGAGAGAGAGAGAGAGAGAGAGAGAGAGAGAGAGAGAGAGAGAGAGAGAGAGTAGTAGTACGTAGTAGTAGTAGTACGTAGTACGTAGTAGTACGTATACGTAGTTAACGTAAGTAAGTAACTAGTAATACGTAAGTA